GAAAAAGGGCAACTCCTAATCAAAGTGCGATGTAGGACATGATACATTTTACTTGCTAAACATTCATGTAACCAAACTCTACATGACATTTCTTTCGACAGATTCGTGGGACCTTACTTCATCCGGGAGGTCTTAGCCAAGGGTGCATTCTTGCTGCGGGATGACAATGGAAAGGATCTCACTCAGAAAGTGAACGGATCCAACCTAAGGAGAGTTATCAGCCCAATTATGCCATCAGCCGCCTCACTCTCCAAGTCTCTTCCACCATCACCTCCAACGCCTCCGCTTCCTTCCTGGGCGGGTGTTTCTTCCGAGCCTTTTCCACCTCCGTTTCCATCCCTAACAGCTGATACTTGTTCGAATTTTCTTTCCTCTGAACCATCTTCGAAGCAATGTGAAATACTTAATAAGGCCCCTGGAGTTAAAAGGCAAAAAAAGACAACTGCCATGAAGGATGGGAAGAAGAAGCAATGTCCTCTGCAGGAGGAGCTATGATCAGTGTTGATCTATGTGTGTTGAGCTATGTATTATCAGTTTCTTAAGTTTTTGTCAGTAAATATTATATTCTCTTGTGGTGATCCTCAAACATGCATTTCTACTTTAGAAAACAAACTCCCTGCATTTCCATTGAGGGAGGGGGGGAAAAATATCACGAGGGGGGGAAAAATATCATATGAAAATTTTCCCCATGGGGAAAAATATCACGAGGGGAAAAATATCATACGACACCGGCATGTAAAGGCATCAGGAAATAAGTCATTCCGGTTATGCTCATGGGAAAAATGAAGACGAGAGCATGACTGAATCCATGCAACATAGCCACGAGCGTGGATGGAAAACGTGGAGGGAATTGCAATTCCATGACTTTGTTCTCATGCATTTCATGCTCTTTTAATTCGTACTTTCGCTTCTTTTTTCGAAAAGTGCGGGGGCACGGGCTCCCTCCGACGCTACGCCGCAAGGAAAGGAAACTGTTTTGATTCCAAGCGGACACACGACATCCCCCGCCGTTCCGGTTCCAAGTGGCCACACGACATCCCCGCCGTTCCGGTTCCAAGTGGCCACACAACATCCACCGCCGTTTCGTCGCGTTGTATCCCCAGCTCGTTATTAAACGGACGCCGCATTTTTTAAAAGGAGCATGAGGAGTTCGAGGTGCTGTTTACGATAAATAGATTATAAAACCGGCAGACTAATTCGGCAATGCTGTAACTCGTCACGCCCATGACATCTGCAGAATCAAGCGCAAGAAATCGGACTCAAACTGAAACTGAAGTGACCCAAGAGAAGAGCTATCGAGGGACTCAAAAAATAAGCCGCAAAATGACGATACAGCCAAGCGTGCGAATCACATGTAGCAAAAATAAATATCCTTGGATTTGAGTGACATCTGCTGGCAGCCTCTCCTACTATTGGTTATCTTTTATGAACCTAGATAGCGCACATGTCTCATTGCGATTGTGAGCTGGACACCTCTCCATTCCCTCCTCGTCTCCTCCATTCCCTCCTCGTCCTCTCAATTCACTCCTCGCCCCCTCCTTTCCTACCTCCCCCTCCCCCCTAATCGAGACACTTGCCCCACCCTCGTCCGGCTCACGTACGCCAGCGGCACCGAAGAACGTGCCCTGCACCGAAGCCATTCACACACGGCCGATTCCACCTCTCGTCGCACCTCCTCGTGAGATGCAAATCGCCAGTCTTCTCGAGGAACTCGAAGAGACGATCGTTGCGAGATGAGGGCTGTGAAAATGATGCGACAGCACCGTCCAACCCAGTGAGTTACTCACCGCAGCCCCCCCTCCCCCCTGGAATTTGCCTTAAGGGCCACCCCCACACCAGTTTTTACTTTTGTTTTTTTGGGGGAATCTGTCCTTTCCGGGTTTATGGACGATGGCTGAGCATTTGGAATGTGCTACTTCGACAGCATTTGGAATATGCCAGTGGCGTATTTTACAGGGGAGCACCCCTTGGAGGAAATAATTTTCTCACCTGATATCATTCGGGTGGGGTTTGGCGCCACCGCTCTGTTGCCTTGCCCCCCCCCCCTGACCCTTCAGCCAAAATACGCCACTGGAATATGCTATTATATTTTCAACACTCTTTTTAGGTTGTTTGGTGCAGAAAGTGACGCAGACATGCACTTTTGAAAAGTGCAAGTTTTCGCGTCTGTGAGAACCGACAGAAAACCGAAAGAACGATGAGAAGGAAAAGGCGAGCTGCTTTCTATTTAATTCCCCGGGGGAATTAAATCGAGGCAGTCGCATGGAGAAACTTGTTTTCCTCGGGGAATGGTTCTCAGAGCAGACTCCACTTTTCTCAGGCGGGCGGGAACCCCCTCCCTCACCCGCGAGAGACGATTCGAATTTTCATAAGGTCGACAGCGCGTCCCCCGAGCCGAGGGCAGCTCGACTTCGTCGGACTCGAGACCACATCACCGACGCAATGACGGACGGGAGCAGGAAGGGAGGTAGGAAAGGAGGGGGCGAGGAGTGAATTGAGAGGACGAGGAGGGAATGGAGGGGACGAGGAGGGAATGGAGAGGACGAGGGAATGGAGGGGACGAGGAGGGAATGGAGGGCACAACACAAACGGAGAGAGAAGGAACGGCAAGCCTCTCGGAGGCCTATGCGGATCGCCAGTTTCGTCATCTTTTATTTTTTTTACGCTAAGGCCATGCTTATGTTTTATTTCGATATCTCACGATTAGGCACTTCCTGTTTTCCTACAGCGAATCAAATTCCTAAGTAGGCCTACTCGTTTTCTATTTATCTCAGCGCCATTTCGACATCACGAGGTTTGACTCTTAAGTGGCTCTAACGGAAACGCATTTAAACCCAGTTTAAATGCGTTTTCGGAACCCACAGGATCCGCTTGTACCAAACGAGGATCTGCCTGCACCGAGCGAGGATCAGCCTGCACCAAGGGAGGATCTGTCTGCACCAGGCAAAAATCCACAGAGGGCAGAACGATGACTTCTCTCTCCGATCGCAGAATGAATCGCCATTTGTTAATCTGAAACATATTTGATGGAAATGTCTTGGGAAAAGGAACGTCTCGCACTCGATTCGATCGCATTTAAGAAAATTATTCGAAGAGGAACAGTCGGGTCTCGTGATTCCATCGTGCTGCTCCGAGAGAAATGGTTCCAATATCCGGCTCCATTAATCACATCGGCGTAGACGAGAGGTTTCCATTTTTCTCCCGTGAGTGGCAAGTCATTCGCAAACAGGCTTTTTTTTCACTTAGCGCTGAAGGGAAAAAAAAGATCCTGGATCGATCCTGAGCACCCACATCCCTCCGATATCTTCGGGAGTTTCACATTCATCCACAAGGAAAAAAAAAAAAAAAGTTCGAGAATTAGAATGTGGGATCAACTGGGAGGAACCTCCTCGAGCGTCCAGCTCACAATCGCAATGAGACATGTGCGCTATCTAGGTTCATAAAAGATAACCAATAGTAGGAGAGGCTGCCAGCAGATGTCACTCAAATCCAAGGATATTTATTTTTGCTACATGTGATTCGATATGAGACAGGCTGTACGTGCGCGATAAATGCTGCGATTTTTTGCGCGATAAATGCTAGATGTACTCGAAGCAGCATGGCTCCGATCGGATTCGTTTTTAAAAATAATAAACACCTCAGAAGAGATGGTCGGTCCTACGTAGGTCGATTCTGCTTGATGTGATGCCAATGGTATATCTTCAACGATATCAGATTTGACTAACGAGTTTAGAGGCTGTGTTTTCTAGGTGAGGTGTTTGGCACGACGAGAATCGCTGGAATGTGACAGTTCCATCGACAAGCTGTGGCATAAATAGATTCCAGGTTTTCCGGTGCATTAGGGTCGAGACGACCCTAATGAAAAAAAAAGCTCGAAATCACTGGAGTTCAACTTCAACAAGTGTGGAATTATTGGTGATTCGCGCGTCAGCATTACCTGCAGTTCTAACTCGAGTGCTTCTTATTATGCCGTCACTGCACAGAATTATTTCGAGGGCATCCGCAGGGCCGGATTTACCCATGGGCCTTAGGCCCTCATATTTTTAGGCCCTTCATTCCATTTTTTTGTTGTTGCAATATGTAATTCATACTTAGGCCCTTCTCTCCCATTAGCCTCATAACCTTAACCCTTTCAGACCTGAATTAAGGCCGCTATCAGAATAATATCCTATTTAGCATTTTTGAGCTCTTTTGTGATTGTAATTGAAATTTTCATGTTTTATATGTAGTTTTCACATTTTGTATACATTTACCATATAATACCATATATTATGTATTATACATTTAATCAAATAACTGAAGATGACAAAAGTAATGGGTGAAAGAAGGCATCTGATGGAACTGAGACATGCATATGTACATTGTAGTGTAATATGGAGTGCAAAGTCACGAGAATCCTAAGAAATTGCCATAGACACGGTGTAAATGCAATGTCCATTAGAATGGACGCCAGGTCTGAAAGGGTTAATCCGACCATGGGCATTCGCATTTGTTTCATCGTGTATTGCTGGAAAAGATGCTGCTACAAGCGTTACGATATGACCCTGTCGCCTACGAGAGCATCTGCGCTAATCTCACGATGAGAAGAAACTGTCTACATGTGAACTAGGGACGGCCACTGCTGACAAAACCACCAAGTTTTGCCTTCTCCCTTCATTCTCTTTGATGCTTGGCGCTGCTGTCCAGTGCCTCGACTCTCATTGGTCAGCAACCTGACGGCGCATGACGTCACGAAAGGACCACGTGCTTGGCGCCAAAAGCAGCCACTACAGATGCCTCTGGACGAATTTCCACGTGTAAGTGTTAGAGAAGACTAAGAGCATGGAATTCACGACGAGTTCCGGTCTCAGAGGTGGACCTCGGCCTCGAAATCGTCTGGCGAGAGCTGTGCTCGCCGCGCCAGACCAACAGAAGTACCTGAAGGACCTTACTTTTTATTCTGAACCGCCAGGAGACACAATTCCTCTAGTCGACCTGGAAAATTGGGCTTTGCAGAGGCTTGAACGTGAGTCGAGTCCAATTTTATTTCTGTTGGTCAGCCTAGCTCAATTTGGCCTCCAGTGCATTGGGTTAGCCTATGCCTAGAGTTTGGACTCAGACGTAACGTTATAGGCCTCACATCATGGTCAGGAGTGAGGCCTAGGCCTATGGGACGTCCCATAGGCCCATTTCCTGGACCATTGGGTTTCCGTACTGATCAGCTACCATGATGAAAGCAGCATAGTTTCTAAGAGCTGGATGAGCATAGAATTAGATGGGGTGTCTGGGAAGTGAGATATTGAAGTCACACTGGAATGATACATGTGAGACTCGGCTGTAATGTCGACTCAATGTTAGTCCAGATCTGTTTCTTTTTCAAGGCTGACTTTTAAAATAATATACTTAAATTATCATCCAAACTGCTTTTACCTCCAGATTAGCTTGTTATGCTACATTGAAGCCTAGGTATTAGGAAGGTCATTGTTAATGTATCCCTTGGTGTCATTATCTTGATATGAGCTCAGATGAAAGCAAAGCTTGCGTGAGCATGTCACTATTGACTCCATATGTTCCATCAGGAAATATTTTCTTGTTTTATTCATGCTGCTTTCTATATCCTGCTCATGGAGAAACATGCTTTAACAACATAGGGTAATAGGAATTAACCATTTTTTTTATGTGCAAGTTTGCTATATTCTAGGAGTTTCTTGAGTGACTCTACCAAAAATTGGGATTCTACCTAATGGAAAGAAGCTTGTACTCAATGTAGAGTTCAGAGTTGCAGACTGTGAAACCCTTTATCTTTTGTAGCTCCAAAGACTTTAATAATAATAAAGAAACTAGATATCATATATCAGGTGATCTTTTCCTGGTAATAAGTAAATTCATACCTAATGAGATGTACACAATTTAATGGAGTAAAAATGAGCTGATCATTACAATAATTGATTTTAGTAAAAAAGGAGCTAAGTTGAGGCAGTGTCTCACACCTTGCTCAATGCTTCTATGTGCTTGGGATACATTTTAGATATGATGCCCATGCCAGTGTGGCTGGAGATCATCAAACTATATGTTAGTGACCTGTTAAGTTTAAGGTCCCATTTCATAAGCACAGGGAAGCCTCATTAATTCAGAATTTGGAAAACCAATAAAACGTCAACATTGAAGTGAAGGGGTTCAAATTATCCAGTTTTGTTGCTATTGAACTTTATGAGCCTTGAGAGTAGAGTTAACATTGAATACCACCCAGTTCATTTATATTGGGCATTCTAAGCATTAGAGCACTGAGAAGATTGTAACCATTTAAAATCATCATATACAAGTAGCAAAGAATCTGATGTATTGGCCTAGACGTAATATAAGATGGCAGTGCTGACGTTGGTGCAGTTGGGCATCAGCACAAGTAAAATGACCCAAGCCTATGTCCATAATTCAGTCTAGGAATCTAGACTCAAACTGACTGTACTTTGAGTTTTAGATTCAATCTCAGCTCTGATTTACATTCTTGAAACAGTCTTGCGATTAGTGGAGAGAGTTGGGCTGACCAGCCTCCATTCACTGTCAGAATGGAGAAATACCCTCATCAATGAAATCCGTCAAAACAAGCTGATTCCCAGTTTCTACGTACTGGTGAGTTCAGGTGCTATTCATATTTTAAATTTGGTTAGTTGTGAAACTTGTTTTTTATACTGGTATTAGAAAAATGTTGCTTATTTCATCAGCTTTCAAGTCATTCAGGCACTGCAGAGGAAGATCTCTATGAAGCAAGAAGGAAAGACTATATATCTCACTTCATCCTTCGTGCTGCATACAGCACATCTGAGGACCGTCGGAGATGGTTTATCCAACAGGAGTGTGACTTCTTCAGGGCACGCTTTATGCAGCTCACTCCTCAGCAGATTGATTCATTCCTTCAAGAGCAGGGCTTGCATTATGTCAAGGTAAAAGTGTCAGTTCACCAGCTAATGGAAAATTTCCCAGTTTCATATGGCTGGAAATATTTATCTCAGGATTGCAAAAAAATTCATGACCCTGCACTCTTCACTCTTTTCCTTTTGTCAAATGGAAAACAGGAGTCAACAAATATGTGAAGGTCATTCAGGGTATATGCAATACTCTAGGTTATATTTATTTTATCTTGTGTTACAGTTTGCTGAGTTTCACATCTGCAAGCATTTATTTTGCTCTTCAGAAGCACTGAGGAGCAAGATACAAGCTTGCAGATGTGAAACTCTTATTGCTATTGCCACAAGATGGGACAATAGAACCATGCATATTCAGTTCCTGGATGTTAAGTTGAACTTGGCAATATTCAACATGACTCCACCCTTCACTTCTTTGGTTCACATTTAGCTTGTTCGTGGCATTCTCTCCTAAGAATTGGGCCTGTTTATATTCATGCTTTTGCATGTTGCAAAGCATGTATTGTCAAGAATGTAAAGGAAAGAACCGATATTTCAGTTTAGGATGCCTTAGTATGCAGGATCTTCTATTGGCTATACTTCATGCATTGATTTTATTTTGTAATGTCTTATTTTGTTTCTTTTCATTTCTTAGTTGAAAAAAAATTGAGAACATTTGTTCTTGGTCCAAGTAAATAATACATTTCTCTCCCCCCCCCCTCCTTTTTCTTTTTTTTTACCACTCTTCACTCTTAGGAGGTCAGTTTTAGACACTCCCATGAAATTAGGCTCATGACAATTTGGTGACATGAAGATAGTTTTGTAGTTGAGAAAGCAAGAAGAGAATTCTAAAATCATATTTAGAGTGACTGCTTGGGTGTAAGTAGCCTAATGTAGCTCCATTTAGCAACTTTGGCATCATCTGCCAGAAAAAGAAAGGTTAGCCTGATATTCTACTTGAATCCATGAATCTAATTGAACCAAATACTTCCAGCCAAGACTTTCTCATTGTTCTGGTGGAGAGTTTCATTTTCAGTGAGAGAGAATGAAACTACCTTTTTATATTCCTTGTATGGACTTACCTAGTTGCATGGTCCATGGATTCATAGTCAAAATTGCATGAGCACTGCTACTTTGGGTACTGGTACTCTGGGCTAAAGTAATAAACAGGGACAAAAAACTTTTCAAATGCCCTCATGCATCCCTGGTTCAAAGTCAACTTATCCATCTTTTTATTGCAGCTAAATGATGCTGAAAAGAATGTCATGATCCAGTACATATTGGGTGATGACAAGAATGCAGAGAAGAAGAAGATGCTGGATTTGTACAAAGTGCCTTGGTTGGATGCACTCGAGCTGGTCAGAGGTCGTCGAGTCTTCCTCCAGGCAGGGATGGCTTACATCACCACTCAAGAGTTCACATCCATTGTGACACAGAAGTTCAGAGAGTTTCTGGAACGAGAAGTGCAGGTAGGCTCTTGATGAAGATCCTGAGTTCACTTATGAGAAGAAAATAAAATGAAAAGGAAATTTTTTGCATGTTGTTTGTAAAGGTGCACGTCTGATATTCCTTTAATTTAGACTTATCCTATTGTTTCAAATTGTACTTTTTGTAACCACTTGTGTAATGTGGCACCAAGCAGAAAGGACTTATATTTATAATCCTAATTTAGAGTGGAAAGTAAACTGGACTATTTGATAGCTGGAATGTTTTGCTTATGAGAACATTTAATTAGCTAATAAAATATCAAAGGCTGAATCATCCTCTTACTGAATCTATTCCAGTGTGTACTATGTAGCCAATGTTGACACCAATGGATGTTATGTTGCACACTTTTTAGTTTCACAACTGAGATGGGATCATGTGGGACATAGCCCCAACAGAGGGGAAGGGAGTGTGAGATTATTGACAGTCACATCAATCTCTGTAATGTGTCAGCATGATGCATTTGCATGTTTGCAGGAAATATTGGCTTTAGGTGGGAATGTCAGACAGTTCTTTCTTATTTTGTTACGGAATGAAGGAAGTGACCATTCAGGTTTAGTGTTTGCATGACTGTAACTTTCATTACTTGGTACATGCAAACTTGGAGGGCATTGTGGGACAGGCTCTGTGAGAAGACAAAATTGCAGACACAAGCACTTAGCCTTTTTTCATCCCATCATTCTCTTTTGTTATGTGACAGTAGGACAGCATAGTGGAGACAGAAGAAAAAAGTCTCGTCATTTGATTTTTGTTTAGGGAATGTCCCCAGACTCTCTATTTAGTCTTTCATGTCTCCTAACTTAGACCAACCCTGTTGTATTACTTATCCAGTATGATCATCTTCCAGGATTCATGTGACCAAATATCTTTCATTAATAAATCTGCCTCTCAGGTGGAATTTTAATTGCTGGAAGAAATTTTGAATTAGGTAGTTGCCAAAGAAACACAAAACAGTGCCTTGGGGTGCTGAGACTTCAGTTTCTCTCATGAATGAGTGCAAGACCAATTCTAACATTGTCCTTATTTGGAGCAAGCACTTGTCTGGTGAATCCTGTCATTCCTCCCTTGTGTCAAATTATATTGGACTTAAGATGATGTGGACTTAGAGCTTTTAGTAGATCTTGAAACTTCTGCCTTCATCACTTATGGAATAGTAATAAACATGGTACTTGAATTTGCATCTTTCAGCATATGAGCCTCAGCATGGGGAGGATACTGGAGGATGACGAACGGATGCAGAAGCTCCTGCAAAACTTTGAGAAGTATTACCTTGGTCCAGACTACAGTAGCCGGGGGGACACGAGTGACCGCATCACCCTAGACATGATTGGCACTGTTAGAAAGAAACGTTTTCTATTCCTTTGCCCTTTGTATCTCCTATTCCATGGAATTGACATTAGTTGCTTCAACTCAGGTCAGCAAGGAAAGTTACCCATTGTGTATGCGACACATGCACGAAGAAGTCACAACAAACCATCACTTAAAGCACTTTGGTCGGCTCCACTATGGACTCTTCCTGAAAGGCATTGGGTTGACCCTTGAGGAGCAGATCACATTCTGGCGAGGGGAGTTCACCAAGAAACTGGATCCTGACAAGGTTCAATTGTCTCTACCATTTAACATGCTTTCAATGCTTCATAGTGAATATTTCCTTCAGCCTACTGGTTTACAATCAGATGAAGTTTCCTCACTGTGCCCATTGAGGGAACTCCTTCCATCCTCACTTCTATTGGATGGGAAATGTTTATAAGACTTCAAACATGAATTCACTAAGAGGGTTTAGCAGGAAGGGGTGTTTTGGAAGCTTTAAAAAAGGAATTGATCTGAAAAAATATATTTGCTGGGAAATTTTGATATTCAATGCTTTTCTCGAGTAGTCAGCCCCAACATTCCAAAATATTGCTTCAATTTTTAGGGTGCTAATAGATTGAATTCCCAAAAATTGAATTTTTTCCATAGATGGAAAAAATTCAATTTTTGGGAAAATGTCATCATCTCAGGTATTGCCACTACATAGTAAATTTTTTATCCTCTGCTGTCCTAAAAGATAGTATAAGATAATTTGCAGACTTAGTGTCCTCAGGCAAAAAATAAATGAAGCAATAAAAACAGAATATTTGCATCTATCAATGAAAATCTCCAGCACTCTGAACCTAGGAAGTCAATGTTGTGTTGTGGTGTCATGTGCTCATACCGTTCTGAATTATTTAAGACAAAGCTTTGTGTATGGGATGAGCAATGCATACATTTGAACAAAAAAGAAATCTCTGAAACAGGAAGGAAATTAAGTACAAACTCTCTTCAAACTCAAACCACTTTTTCTTCATTGGTTAAACTTCAAGCTGTTTGCTTTTTGATAACTTTGGTTGTACATTTTTGTTATGTTATAAAGGCTAGACTTCTATGTGATTCCCATTGCCCTCATCACATGGATGGAGCTGTTTTCATTCAATTTCAACTGCAATTGTAATGAACTCCATTGTGAAACTATGTATGACATCCTGAATATTGAATTTGCTGTTCCTCCTCTGATATGAAATTTGACTCTTCTAGTGGGACAAGCAGCATAGGTATGGGATACGCCACATGTATGGAAAAGAGGGGCACATGAAGGAGTTGAGCCCATACAGTTGCATCAAGATCATCACATCCTCAGTGGGAGCAGGAGATAAGCATGGGTGTCCCTTCAAGCATTGGGATCCCCGCAACCTGGCCACAAAGCTCAAGAGCATTGGGATCACTGATGCAGGTATTATATGTTGCCTTATTCTTCTCCTATACAAATGTGGAGGTTCTCCCATGATTATATGCACCATTGGGTATGGAGGTTTGCATATTTTTTTGTTCCACTCTTCCAGTTCAGCTATTAGCTCATCTAAGATTCAGATTGACTGCACTCAGTTACACTGTACACTTTTTGTGATAAATGAGGTGCTGTGTCGCTGCTGACAGACAATTGGACACCAAAGATCAAAGACACAGTTTTCTGTCTATAGCCTTCCTTGTGTTCTTTCATCATCAGTTCTTCACCTATGAGGGTGCATCCTATCCAATCCTATTCAGAAAAGAAACTCTATTTTTGCCCTTTTGGCATTTTTTATTGATTAGTTTTTTTTAATGTTAATTACTGTCACCAGTTGGTCACCTGAACCAATATTGGTGCTTTTCAGTAGTATTGTGAAAAAAGCTGAAAAAAAAATGAACCCAGAAAGTTGCATGCCTTTCCATGCAGTCATTCATGAGATGTTTATATTTGACATTGATGATGAATTTTCTTTGATGCTTCATCAAAATTTTTGGCAAATTGCCTAAGGTCCATTAAAGAAGTGTCACAGTGTGTTGTTTAATGAAAGCATGAAACATTTACTCCTCGAAGTTACATGTTTTTCTTAATAGTCATCAACGAGAGATTCTCAAAGTGTGTGCTACCAGATTCACTGAACGACAGGTTAAGTTATACATATAAGGCATACAGAAAGCAGAAGTCTAAAGCCTTGTCTTTGACTTCTGCTTTCCATCATTATTTTGATTCATCTGCAATTTTTGTTCATTTCATTTCTTGTCATCGCTTGACCAGAACATTGACAGATAAAATTATGACTGCCTTAATTCGGCCATCAAGTGCAATTGTGTTCAAGTTTGAGATGTTTTTTTTTTTTAGGAGTGTCAGAGATCCAAGGGTTTGCAGTAGGAGGTCACTACCAGATAGCATGTGGGAAAGTGTTTGCTTTCACCCATAAGGGAGCCGAGGTCGGCATCAATCATCCAAACCAGTACTTTGAGGAGAGTCGAGCCATCATCACTGGGAAGTTGGGGAAAAAATCTCTGTCACAGGAAGCTTCTGGTATGGCAATACACATACAGAGTGTCCAGGGTTCACAATTTTAATATCATGTACAGTAGACACATTGGAGAAGTGGGGCACAATCAGCAACTCTCCCAGTTGAAGCATTTGCAGGCCACTGTCAGACATAGTCTGACGATCTTGATGGCATTACAAATAAAATGGACCACAAAGCATTAATATATTTCATATAACAACTGTCATTTGCAACCACAAGCCTTCTTCATCACTTGAACTTGATAATAGCATTTTGAAGGTGTTGTTGTGGAATGCCTTTAATAACATCTTTGATTCTCCAGCTGAGTTTACCAACATCAGCAACCTTGTTTATGCTTCACAGCAGTCATAAACATGGCCCAACATATAAAAATCCATGGTCAGGTGACCAAGGCGACCATGTTGGTGATCCACCATGACCTATCCAGTGTTGAGGAAATGTTATATTGGAAGCTTTGAACAGGAAGAACATAATGAAGAGGGCCCCCCCTTCATCTTCTCAAAAGATTACTCTCTCTAACAGACCCCCCTCAGCTTCCAACTGAGGAAGGAGAAATGTCTGTAGCATTGTCAGGTTTCAAAATGCCAATGTTGGTAAACTCAGCCATGGAATCACAGATGCTATAAAAGGCATTCCAGACCTTCAAATGCTATTATTGAGTTCAAGTGACGTATAGATCTTGTGATTGCTAATGATGGACATGTGGAAATTGATTAAACTTGAAGAGTTGCTGATTGTGCCACACCTCACCTGTTTCAACTGTATTTAATAATAAATTTATGCAATGTTATTTTTGCACCTTTATTTCCCATATGTATTGTATTCATACTTCCTTTGTCATTCATCCTTGATACATGTGATTTTCTTAGTTCCAGGTTCTGACAGCGCATCAAACGTGGCTGCGAAGGTGGGAGGAGAGGAAATGAATGACACTGCCCTCTGGGATGGAGAACTTGAGCCAATGGATATAGAGGATGTGATGTAACAATTCTTCTGCAATTGTATTAATTTCCTTTCCTCCATTTTTAATCATCACGAATGAATGAGCTTTGCAGGTTTTTGAAGCTCTCACTTATATTTATGTGACAAGACAGTGATTAATAAACATCTGGTGTAATACCAAAGGAAGAGGAGAGAGAGATCCCAGTACTCCCAAACAGATCAGACAATGGGCGGAATGCATTACTTCTTCTTTTTTGATGATTTGGTATTGGTATTGGAATTGGCATCCGAGGATTCCTCCACTGCTTTCTGCCAGGGAAGATTGTTGCACCTATACATGGGCCATGGTGGAAGGACCAACTGAAAACGAGAAGTCAGCCAAGATAAGTGTCAGCAGATCAGAAGGGAGAATTTTTTTTAATGGAATATTAATTGGTGGATATTTGTTTCTTGCAAAAACATTTTTAAATACCCTAGTCAAATTGAAAGTTTTGTTCATTAATAAGACTAACTTGTAACTTGGTTCACCAACTTTACATATTCTTTGAGTCTAACAGTATAGCATTTCTGCATATTTTACATTGGCAGGTCTATGATACAACAGATGCTTACCAATGCACAAATGCACAGAGCACCAAGTAGGGTGTAGATTGTGTAGGAGAGTTCTTGTGCAGAATACCCCCAAGTCAATCCAATCACCTTTTCAGAGAAAACAGATAAACAAACACTGCTAAATTAGTCTTGGTCAAATTTATATTGGCACTAAGGTAAATAATATGACAATTTAAAATTCACCCCTGCTAGTGTTAGGATGATCTGGAACAGCCTCTCAGCTCTCTTCTGGCCAACAAAGTCCTGAAGAAAAATATATATTAGGTTAATGGTCATTAATTCTACTGTATCTGAGAAGAGTTCAAAGTGAAGATGAAAAAGAAAAAGGAATAGCCCATTCGTAGGAAACACTGTTAAGTAAACTGCATGATACTGCTGAAGGAAAAAGAGTAATTCCATAAATTGAAGACTTTTCCACAATAAATGGACATATCGCATTGTGCTTGCTTGCGTCTGGGTGGGGTATGCATTTTCTATTCACCCCAATGGGTCCAAGCTCTGCCTAGGTGAGTATGTGAATATCCAGGGAACTTACCATGTACCATCCTTCTGTCAAGACATTGATATAATCTGTGATGGCTTGCATTGCTGAACTCTATCTGCTACCTTTTAACAAAGTGATAACACTGCACAGTTAGGGTCAGTCCAAGAGTTCATTAAACCTGCAAGTGGAATGCAAGGAACCATCAGTAGGTGATCAAAATTCAATAACAAATATATATACTATAATAGCCAGCCTGAATCAAAGAGTAGCTGTTGTCTCCCAATTTTGGAAAACAAGATGGGTCTGTTGTGCCTTAAAAGTGATTTAAACATGGGAAATGCATGAAAAATTAATCTTTCTGCAGTTGCTTGGCACAAAACACTTCCCCATACAATATTCTTTCTCTCAAGAAAATAAAAAGAATGCCAACTTACCAAAGTTGTACATTACAATAAATCACAGGTCTTCAACTCATGCACTTATTTTTCAACACCCTTACAATGGGACCATTGTGGAAAAGGAAGAGAGAAAGATGCCATCCAGTCCATTTAACCTAGCCTTCATTGTTTGTTCATATACATGGTCCATTGTAAGCAGGGCCTTAATTTTGCAACCCACAGAGTAGGTAAGTTTTCATAGATGAGGTTAGAGTTTAACTTCTGATAAAGATGATGGGGTGAACAAATCTCATGAGCAACTACCAAAAGGTTAAATCATGTCTAACCATAAATAACTAATATTTTATTGCCTTGGTGGGTTCCATATCAGCCTGGCAAAAAAAAAGCACTAGGTGGAAGTAAACACCTGCACATCAGCTTTTTTTAAAATTTTTCATTCTCAAGCTTGGCTAGCTGAAATGTGGAAAATTTAGGAGTTTATTAAATTACTTTCCTTGCTGCTATAATATGAGATACTGTAATTATTTGAGTTCAGTACCTAATAGATACAGTGGTGAATGCAAAAATAAATAAGCTGGGGAACCCCTATCTAGTAGTGGATCTTCCTTCACTGATGGTTGACTGGCAGACGTGGCATATGAGGGGAGTATTTATAGGACTCCCAGGTGTGGCATTTCACAAGTTTAGTTAGGAAATCCATCTATGCTATCTCTCTCTTTCTCATGCCGACATTGGCTCCATTGGGTGTGAAGGTCGAAGGGGAACTAGAAGCTCCGATCAGTGAAATGGCATGCACAGTTCGTCAAGATTCAGGCAGAATGACAGTTTCCAATGCCTTCTGATAGTGAGCAAACTTTCACACATTGAAGTAAATATCCTATTTGACAAAATATCTAAAAAAAAAAAAAAAAGAGCTCAGTCTGCATCCTGTTTGTATCTATTTGCATTTGAAATTTTTTAAGGACCAGGCAAATTTTTTGGAGCTATTGCCAGACAGGACAATGAAAGTGGGGGAGACAACAAAAAAGTGCAGGCCAGGACTACAATTGCCTCATCTTTTCCTGAAAGGAGATCCACTAAAATATGAAAATGGAGATTTTGATGTAGTGAATATGTGGCATGTTGAATTTTTCTAAAACATCTGCATTTTCATGGTGATAAAAAGGATTCCACAGCATGCAGCCATGGTGACATGAACATCTATCCCCTCCCTTTCGCTTTTCAACCTATCTGCATTTCTTCTGCGTCTGAAAGTACCTGCATACTTTCAGATTTGATGAACACCAGAAATCACTAATGCCTCAAATCCGATTGAACTTGAAAAATTTGCTTCCCTTCCCTTGCTCATCCTGCTTCCCCTCTTAGAATTAGCCTCTGCCAAATCCAGTGCCTGTGGCCATATTCCTAAAATGTTGAACACAGCATAGACCTAAAGGGTATCGAAAACATTTATTTTACGAGGTCGATATGGAGCTCGAACGCGTTAAATGCTGAGTTTTGAGCTTAATTTTAGTTAGTTTCTTCTCCAAGTCAAATCACATCACAGGTTTTGCATCTGCCTGGGCCTAAAAATCGGAGACAAAGGTCAACATGAACACCACGAGCACAAAACTGAAGCCAAACCAGGCCCATTCAGAGAGAGCTAGGCCAACCGGCACGAAACCGCTTAACTTTAGGCATGAGACACGTGGCGACACCCAAGCAGAGGAAAAAGCGATTGAAAGTGTAAGCGGCCATGATTCCTCTCGCCGAAAGCCATGGCCGCCTCCTTTCTCGGGGACATCTGCCGTGCGAGCAGTGACCAGTGCACTTCGCTGGCCGCGCCCTGCGTCTCGGTCCAGGCCTACGCGTTTCGCCCCCGATTTCTTGCGTGAGAGTGAGGCAGGGCCTCGCCTCGTAACGGGAAGATAGCAACCGCGACATCCGTGGTCCGACGTTCAGGGCATCCATTGCCCTCTGCGCATCAACCTAACTTATAAGCTACGCGTTGTAACGGCGCCGATAAGAAAGAGGCCCCGCCCTTGGTAGCCTAGGCCTATGTATATGTTGTTACTTTTGAAGAATTTCATATGACAGCCCACTTACGATTGTCATTCTGTGTGGGGTGAACCAGGGTGGCAGGTAAGGTTTTTTTTTTTCAAGATAAATTTATTTCCTGGCTCGATTCTTGGCGATATCCATCATTGCTGTATTTTTCTTGCAAACAGGAGAGTCATTTCATTCTATCCTATTCAGTAGCTTATAATGTCTACATCCTTAGTGACAAATCCCCTTTTTCCTCCTGTGATTTGCTCCCTTTAATACTTAGCCTGTCTTAAGGTATTTCAGTTAGAATAACCTCATGAATCATTAAAGAGGATTAGGAACAATTTATTTTCTGTCATATTACTAAAAAAAAAAATGTAATGTTCATATTGTTCCCAACGATCAAAATTCTTCAGTTGTGAGAATATGCATGTAAGTATTTAGTACCATACATAATGTTAATTATTAGGAGTATTAGCTTCTGAAATCCTCCCAGAACTTTCTGGACACCCTGTATCATTTCTGTTGGAGCAGAGTGACAATTGAATCCCTTTAAAAACCCTGGCACTTTTCAGGTTCTGTTGTATCCATATCACATCCTCAGCCAAATGATGTGGTGCATAGCATTGCTTGACCTGAAAAACGGCGAATCGCACAGCCCTGCTGCACCGACTCTATGTGGAGTGCCACTGATAGAGAATGAAAAGAGGGTAAGGTCCCAATAAGAGGCACCATGACACCCTTCGAAGACATCCTGTACCTCTTCAACAACATTCTCCTGGGCGAAGAACCTGTGAGTCCCCGCCTGAAGACTGCATCGAGTCGAGGAGAAGCATAGCTAATCGGATCTTTTCCTTTCTTGTTGCAGACGATAGAAGATTTCATTCTTCTGATAGGGACTTCGGTGGCGTTCATTGCATTTATCCTGTGGTGTTGCTTCCCCATTGTGCCAAAGGACACACCCGCCACGCAACAGTCCCAGTCGGAGAGCCTCAAGTACACGCAGTACAAGAAGACGGATTATTACGACGAGGAGTGATCCACCCTCCTCTCCCCCTGCATTCTCAATGCAGTATCCCCCAAACTTATTTGTGATATTTTTTTGAAATGTTTTCAAGACTTTGGTTCCTTGCATTGTTTCTGCCAACCCGTTCTCTTTGTTATGCATTGGTTTTTAAGTTGGAGAGTTTTGTTCTCCCCATGATAAAAGGTCCACTATATATTCAGTGTCTTCGTACCTGTACAAGAAAGTTTTATTTCACTTTTTTTTTTGTCAAACAAGATTGTACTTCCTGACACTCAGAGAGGGTAGTTGAGCATGACATCTTGCTTAGCCAGCTCAAGCAACATAGGATCGTCGAAGAACTTGTTGATGGACACATCTTCACTGAGCCCCTTCCTCCGCCGCGTCTTGATCATGAATTCTCTCGCCAGATGAGGTGCTGGTTGTTGCTCAAGTGGCCTGATCACTATGCTCTTGTCAAGAGGGTCCCCAGGAACAATCTGCCAGAAAAAAGATTCCACCAACTTGTTCAATGAATACCATTGGAGCAAAGGATGTTTACTTATTTACAAATGAATACTTCAGCTTGATCCACAGTAATGAGTTTGTGCTCAGCAGATCTATACTGTACAAACACCATGCATTTCTGGGCTGGAAGACAGTGAAGTCACATCCAGTATGTACTTGTTCTTTTCTTTAAATATATTTTTTGTTAGCTCTCAATGAGAGGAAATATCAATCTAAAAATAGATTTCAGCTTAATTCTGCCTCCCACCTGCCAGTGATGGAAAACTGAGAGGCAGAAAGCTTGTCCTTGGGTGTGGGTCCGGAGATCAGTCTCAAAGCCGAATGAATCTATTGCAGGGATGAATGCCTTGATGGTATAGAGAGGAGATCCAGGGACAGGGGCATCTTGTGTCACATGACCCCTGCAGGATTGACAATCATTCTCAACAGAAATGCAACATTATCAAGTTACAGAAAAATAAAGAGAATAATAAGGAAAGGAACCTGCGGCGGGCAAGGACAGTGTAAACAGCAGAGACGCAATCAGCGGGAGCCATAACCTCCACAAAATAATAGGGTTCCATGAGTCTAGGTGTGGCAAGGAGGAAAGCAGAATATGCTACTCGTCTAGCTGTCGGAATGATCTGGCCTGGAAGAGAAAGGATATTCAGCATATACCACTCCTGAAAATATTGACTCCCAAGAGCATAGCTGAAACTGTTACATAAGCCAGTGTATAATATTTTGAAACAGTCAAGACTACTTTTCAGAATCAGAAATGGATCATAAGATAACAGTAATTTTGTAAATAAAAATTCTGCCGTACAGAAGGTGATGCTTGAAGAGTAACTTGCCATACCTTTTTTCTAACTTCACGAAAAACCTTTTAGGACATGGTCACATGATCTATTAGGGACTCCAGAACAGTGGTAATTGTATATACTGTATTATGTTTGAGCAATTGATGTTTAAGGAAAAATTAATTTTGAAAGTGTAGTATGGAATATGTCTTCAGAAACAAAATCTGTTCTTGATGTTGAAAAAATGCAACTGTAAATGTAGTTATTATTTCCATGAGTACAACCTAGAAGGTAATGGAGGTTTTCAAAATGGTTAGGTGCAAAATCTGTCAAGAGAGCAGGTCAATCTTCTCTGAAAGAGACAATCTCCAATAATCATAAGTTAAGGAAGACCATGTCAAAGCCCTTCAGTTGGTCATCCATGCTCAAAAGGCAAATCAAACTTTTCAGAGAAATTCCACAAAATTGCTTATGAGCCAAAGCAAGGTGAACCTCAATCAGCTCTGGTTTGTGCTCATCAACGGTGCAACAACAAAGTCATAAAATTGATTAAGTGCTTTTAAGGATAAAAGTATTGGCATTTCTGAGTCCAAAACTGATTGAGAATATCCTATAATAATTATCCTGAATACCATTTGAATATCATATAATGATTCCCACCAAGTTAAAAACATAAGGGCCATAGAGCATCACTTTCAGTAAACTCTGTACATTGCCCTAGCCAGGAAGGAAGCTGCAAACTATAATCAACTAGAGTAAAAGTTATGGGCACCATTGGACTGAGCTTGCAATAATCTTTCAAGATTTTGCTAGACATTATAGTATGCCCAAAGTGCCACCTGCTTTCTCTTTCTCTTTTTAAAGTTGCTATCTTCAGACATGGCTTAATGATGCTCATGACCCAGAACAAAGAGGGGGATCAGCTGTGCCAACAAGTACCTCCTCCACGATGGATAGGTTCAGGTGCAATGACAGCATCCAAGATCTTGAATTTCACATTCCGGATGGGTTCCTCACACAGAGGTCCTTCTCTGGTTCCCCACTGGAAACCCTGGACGATGGCATCACGAACTGAGTTCAGCAGACCCTTGTCTACCTCTGAAGGGAGTGTGTCATCAACCAGGATGTTTGGACCAGTCACATCAGGTCCAAAGGCCCAGATGCTTCGAGCAGCCAGGAGATCCCAGTCGTATTTTGTTTGGAAAAACTCTCCAAGCCGCTTTCTAAATGCCCAGATTTCTTTTTTTATGACTGCAACATTTGAAAGACATAAATAAAAGGTGTAAAATCAGGCTGACCTATTCCAAGAAATGTGAACGATTTGGTTCTCGATATCTTCGGCCAAGCCTTTCTCTAGTGGTTCAGCAATCATGGTGAGCTTATTCTTACGATTTGGTGTCTCAGCAAAGCATTTAAGAGATGATGTTTCCACAACTGTTTCGCAGAAACTCACACAAGGGTCTGCCACCTTAATATCTGCAGAGAAAAGACAATATTTTAATCATAAAGAGTATAACAAAGCAAGGCTTTCCATGATCATGTTTCTCATCATAAGTTACTTGAATTTGATGGATTAATGCATTTCTTTAATCCTGAAGTTACTAGCATTGCTGAATATTCACCCTAGCATTAATGAACACAATTTTTCTCATTGTTGTTGTCAACCTATCAATTGCCAGAGATCATCAGTGGTCTGCAACATACCAATCTCAGAGTACATCTTGCGGAGATCATGCATGACGCAATCAAGGTACAATTCTCCTGTGCCAAGGATCACATGTTCCCCAGACTCTTCAACCCTCGTCTGGAGAAGAGGGTACGACTTGTTCACTTTCCTCAGCCCATCCAACATCTTGGGCAGCTCCGACGGATTAACGGGCTCCACTGCGATTTTCATCACCGAATGGGTGTTGAACTGGAGCGGGCGGAAGATGTAGAGGTCTTCGTCGAGGCCCTTCTCTGTGATGGTGGCCGTCTTCACTATTGGCTGGTCGATCCCCTCAATGAGGACCCAGTTCCCTGCCGGCACCCGATTCACCTCTACACGATACCTGCACGAACAGTATTCATTCTCAAAATATATCAAACCTGTCCTAATGAAAGTTTTCCTGCTTTGAGGGGCATGATGAACACAATTAACTGATAACCCTTTTGGAGTAGCTGCATTACCTGATTCTACTTCCCCTAGAAAAAACATAAATGTGTAAACTACAAGTTTCAGAATGCAAAGCCATCACCTTGTTTCTGCCAAATGTGAAACGTTACTTAGAGGCAACTCAGAAAAACAGTTGTTTCCCCAAGAAAAGGCACATCTTTCAGCTTGTTTAAAATATCCATCACACCCCTTGTTTGTAAAAAGAGGGTAGAGACCGTGATTCGTAGACCCAGAGGCGTCCCACAATCATGGTTCGTGAGTCCTCCTCATCAGCCAGAGAATAATTCTCCCCTAAGATCACCACCTCCTGACCCGAATGGAGGGTTCCACTCAAAACACGGCCAAAGACATGGAAACATGTCGCATCTGTTGTGGGGTACTGCTTGCTCACGTGAAGCATAAGTGGACCCTGTAACAACATTCCATCAATAAGATAACAATGAATTCATTTTGGCAAGTGAGAGGCATGCATGATGCTTATAACTGGAAAACTGAGCCAGCTAATCATGTCTAAAACTGAGTTTCACCTCAGGGTCACAATGCAGCATGGCCTCTGCAATGTCTCCCTGCAAGGGACCTGTATAGATGTGTTCCACCTTCCGTCTTGCATTTGCAGCAGGTGAGAAGACATGATTCACACACATATCCACAAATCCTAGGAAAAGGAAATATATACATTTTTATGAGACAGCACAACAACTTATAGACAAATATGATGGAAGCTGAATGCACAGACCATTGAAATCACCAAGGAACCGGGAGCAAATAAGACGCAGCAGCGGGCGAATGTTGAGGGTTGATTCCTCCTTGGTTAGATGAATGCCCAGTTCCTCCAGAACAACTGGAAGAGATTCATCCACATCTCCCACCACCTGAGGGGAGAAACAGGTCAATTACAGCTTTTCTGATCTCTACAAAATACTGTATCTACTCTGCAACTCATCAAACCACAAAATGCATCTGATACATCATGAGTCCATCCAGAACAGCAATGAGACATCTTCATATATAAAGTGCATAAAATTAGTGCATGTCACTTTGGAAGTACATGGAAATGAGCTACATTATATGAAAATTAATTAGTAAAGATTACTTCCTGATAAGAGATGTCATGAAGGACTGCTTCGTCCAGTCAAGTCTTGGGATCAAATATCAATCTCAAATTCATGCAATATAAATTCTCAATAGACAGACATTTTCACTATGAGTTAACATCATTACCTATGGACAACCATGTCAACCATCAATAATGACCCCATTCTTGAACATTCAGCTAAGTCCACACAAGGAAACAATCCTCAGAACTAATGACTGACTGTATCCAGCTCATGATAAATTATATGATTCTGAGAAAGTCCTCCAACACTTGAGTTATGGAGCAGGAGAGAGAGAGACCCACCTGTGCAAAGATCTTGTATAGAGGCTCCAGGATGAATTCAACAAAGCTCCTCTGAGCCTGTCCATGTGGTGGCTTTTTTGTGAACCTCCGTCTAACAAGACCAAATTACTTATTCTCATCTGGCAATGACAGAAAAAAACACAGAAAAAGGGAGAATACTCACGTTTTTGGGTTGAAGTAGATGTCTCCCCAGAGCCTTCGGGCAAATTCGGGTGCATTGATGCCTGGGTAGGACTGAGCGTAGAGATATGCAAATGAGCGTTGTGTGAAGCAGAGTGAATATTGGGAACTTGCAAAGCACACATTACCCAGAAGAGGAGACATCAATAATGGATTCTCCTCCTCTGAATACATTCTGTCAGTCACAAAATGAAGCAAGAATTGAGACATGAACCTATCACTCAGCCTTGGCAAACAAGGATTGAACATCGACATACCCAAGTAGACCATTGACTTCATCAATGATCTGCCGTAATTTATAGTATGCATCTTGAGGTGGGAGCTTGAGCTCAAGGATGAGGCGGTCGATTTTATTGATGCAGAGACAGATGGACATGCGCTCTTGGACCGCATGGCGCAGGAGTCTTTCTGTATTCAGCATCACACCCTCAGCAGCATCCACAAATAAAATGACCCCATCTGAGAGGCGCATTGCGGCAGTCACCTCGTCTGAATAATTCACATGTCCTTGAAGAAAGAAAAAACCTTAATGATACATGATGGTAAAAATAAGATGCTTAACTTCTAATCCACTTCCTGGGCATGGAATTGCAGTCAAATAAATATTCAATGAATGCCTACCAGGGGTGTCAAAAATGTTGATAAGAAAGCTCTTGCTTTTCACATCTTGCATCACAAGGCTGATGGGTGATGCTTTCATGGTTACTGCTCTTTCTTGTTCTGTGAACAAAGTATCTGTATAACGCAGTGGTTTATCAGGCTGAGGGGGAGGTCCAAGCCCAGGGTGTGTTTGCTCCATCAAGCAATCAACAAAAGACGTCTTCCCGTGATGAAGATGTCCAACCAGGGCCACATTCCGGATGAGATCGGGTGTATCCATCAGATCTGCCAGAAATCTGAGGGAGAAGATGAAGCCATCACACATTCCTACCATCATTCAAACCTTTCTGCAAACAAATAATAAAAACATTCAAGGTCCTCACTCCATCTCGTATGTTGTTTCTGGAAGCTCCTGTTCAGCATAGCTGAACTTGTTTCTCTTTACAGGCTGTATGATGGGTTGTGTGAGAGGTTGAGCATCCTCCTCCTGGACGACAGTCTCAACCTCGGGCCCAAATACTTCCTCTGCTGTAGGATAATACTTTTTATCCTCATGTAGTACAACTGCTAACTGCTGTCCAGCTTCATCCTCTCCGCCATCATCCATTCCCTCTTCCTATACATCAGGTAAGAACAATAAAGAAATCATTCCTCTGACCACTAAGAAGGAATGACTGTTTTCTTGTCATTCTCTCACAGCTGAGCAAGAAAGCTCTCAACAAAATATTAGCCCTAGACAACACAATAATTATGCTGTCAGCAGTTGTGAATCAGAAGGAATATATGTTGCGGTAATCGTTTCAAATCAAACTTCTCTTCAAAAATATATATGTTCTCCCTTCCTGACCCAAGGGAGAATTCACACCTGGCTAATGCAACCTTGAATGTCAAAGCGATTCCCAAACATTACTGACCTCAATGTCTTGAGGCATATCATCTTGATCATCATGTGGTTCTTCCTCCTCCTCTTCTTCTTCTTCATCGGACTCCAATTCCGGCCCAATGTAGTTTCCAAACTCATCATACAAATCAGCATCCATGTTTCAAGCTGTCAGAAGCTCTTCAGTTTTATTTCAATAGAGAGTTCTGAAACAAATGCCTCTGATTATTCCAAAATCTCAACAAATGTAAACCTACATTCATAGCTGGAAGTACTTCTATCTTTCAATAACACCCTGAGGTGTTATGCAGGTACCCTCTCAACTTTCTCATGTGGCTAAGTTGGTGTAGTTTTCAGAGGAGTTGGAGGATAATGTGGAATATTCATGTCTTACTACAAGTTTTCAGGCAATTGCAATGTCTGTTGTTAGGCCAACACATCTGGACAACTTGGGAATTCCTGACTGCCCTGCCTAAGGAACCATGCCTAATACCATATCATAAAGTTGCATTTGACAGAGTATATGAAATCCATTTTCTTTCCCTAAGGGAAATGGAAGGGGTGGGTGGACAAGAACCCATGCTACACAACTAGACAAGAAGTGGCAAACTGCTCAATATCAGATTTGGGGGGAGGGGGGGGGCAAAAGGGGCTCATATTGCCCTGCAAGTTACTTGAGGCCCTATTCTGTTAACAGCTGAAAAAAACGACAACCCCTGTGAATAACCAAAATGCATAGCTGAAGCTATCGTCATCAGCATCTTCCCTTCTAGCCAGAGCTGATGTCCAGACCTTGTCGTTTTATCCAATAAAGGTTGTTGTTACCCTGCCAATTAATAAATAAATCATGAAGTGAAATATATTATACACGTGTGATTGATCGAGCACAAAAAATAAGAAATGGACTCTGTGAAGCCCCTAAATGGGACTACTGTTTGGCTGTGAAGAGTCTGGGCTCAAACAAGGCCTGAGTAGCTCATATACAAATTGCAACTTTCGAAGGTTGATATACGCAAGGAAAAAAAAGCGTTTGAAAGTTACTGAAAGGGCTGGTTTCACTTTCAATAACAATTGGCGCGCGCCAAGCCGAATGGCGAGTACCGCCACAGTACTTACTGCAGGTCTGTATTTCAAACGTAGGGCAATTCGACATATCATAATATCTGAATGGCTTTGTTCCCACGAAACCTATGCTATGTTAGTAATTGGAGGTCGCGCAAGTAAAAAAAAAAATCTCGCCGGAGTTCAATTACCCCACAAGCACTCAAACACTACTCAAGGTCTCCCCGAGTCCACGCCGGGAAACGCAGTAAGGAAGGCGCCATGACGATTGCCTTCGATCGAGGCGACATCTGCCGTGTTTCCACCGACCTACCACCTCCGGTTCTTTCGGATGTGCAGTTTCAACTCGCGTGTTCGCAGCCGTGAGCAGATCCGTTCTTGGAATGAGCTGCAATGTTTTCCACGAGGTGCCTGCAGCTGCAACGTCGCCCGCAGCCTTTTTCAACTGTGAGTTCAGAATCCCTGTCTCGGTTTCTGGCCTGCCCAGGGATTTTATGGATTTCGAGATGGTTCCCGTAGAAAACGAATGAAAACGCTTCAGGCCTTCTCTACCAGGTATCCCTTTCGTCGCATATCCAACAGATTTTTAAAATATCTGGTTCCGAGTCGTCAGATATGTGGAAACACTCTTTGAAACCACTTTGAATCGAGATCTAGCCGGGTCTAGCCCATTCTGACGACTTTCTTTCCCAGACGGCCTAAGTTCGACGAACTCCGGAATCGAGCCGTGGTTTTGACATTTCATACGAAAAGAACGGGGAGAAGCCGAATGTTAAAAAGATGCGAAAACTCCACGTTGCACCCCAGTGGGAAAGTCTTCGACGAGGAAATGATTCTCAGGCCGATCGCGTGATCGAACGAAAAATGTTGTATTCCATTATTGCATGTTTTCCAGATTAGCTCATTGGTGGAAAGTTGTCAAACTGCATTGGTGGCCGAGGACCATCATTCAACAGGCTTGGATAAGCAGAGCAATTTCGCAGCGTGCTCGGAAAAAGGGGGGGGGGGGGGGGGATCGGTTCGTTCGAGACCTTGAGGAGAGGGGGGGGGGGGGGGGGGAATCGGTTCGTTCGAGACCTTCTCCCAACTCTCGCTAGATGTCTCTCTTGGCGGAGTGCAGCCCCCCCTTCGATACTTTTCTCTCGTTACGGAAAGAATGTGCACTGGAATTTCTTTTTTTTTTTCTCTGCATGAACTATCTTTCTTCAAATGCAATCCTCGAGAGGAGGATTTTTCAGATTTAGAAAGCGTTTTGGGATGACAGTGCCGAATCCCTCAGTATCTCAGTGAGAAAGGAATCTCATTTTCTATGAGTTGTGGAAGTCGGCTTCATAATTCATACACTCTGGGAAGATAATTGACACATGGATTACTGGTAATTGAGTAATCACTTGCCAAGAGGTGCGGAATGAGGTCAAGAAAATTAGGACTTTTCAAAGCTGTCATTTTTATTAAAAACGCATATCAAATTTGTTTTATTGATATATAGAACTCTCCTCGGCGGTGAAGAGACCGGTTAGCGGTTTCCCAAAAGCACGGGCCGACGTGAGTCTCCTTTTGAGGTCAGATGAGGGCGATATGGGAGATCACAGGGGTCAGAGGTCATGTCCCGGACGTTACGTCATTAAGCCCAGTGGCGTAGCGAGGGGGGGGGGCTTCAGCACCCCCAAGTTTGGTTCTACCCCCCCCTGGCGAGAAGAAGTTAGCCTCCCCTCCGTTCCACTTAGCCCCCATTGGCGAAATCCTGGCTACTTCACTGATTAAGCCTCCTGCGCTTGGTGACCTTAAGTGCGTCGTGGTCTCCTGCGGTAAAATTCACTGGTCGACCGGGTTGGAAAACGTTTTTAAGTCGAACTTTAATGTTTTCTTTTGATGTTGGTTATAATTTGGCCTTATAATTTGGTTATAATTTGGTCAATCTCATCATTCTAATATGTTGTTCGCCGTAATCATGCGTGTCTATTGGACGTCTCATGGACGTAGATTAAGTCTTCCACGAGTGTCCGAGTAATGATCGTATTTGGCAACCCTGCCGCATGGCCCACTTCCTTTTGCATTTTCGCTGCTAAATGACCAGAGAAATAATCATCAAATGGAGCAGTGTAGGCTTTATGTTTAAGTACCTAAATATTTACTTTGAAAAGTCGAGTGTTCATAGCGCAATCGCGCACCGACTGAAGCTCAAATCTCAATGAACAAGGGAAGGATCATCCAGTGAACAAGGAGAGGATCATCCAATGAACAAGGAGAGGACCATCCACTACAGGTGGTTGTGGATCCACTACTGCATGCGAGTCGGTCTCTGCGTTGGCAGGGGTCATGGGCGCGCAGCTAAAAAAGGACGATTCGCTTCTATCTCATTGCCTCGTGGTGTGGAACTCTCATCGAAGTGTTGCGAGGGTTTTCCGAAACCCGCCAGACTTCCGCTGAACCTTGAAACCTTGGCGGGCAGGGAGAGGGAATCGAAAGCTGCTGTCACGGTCGCAGCCGGCAGTGATGATGCAATCTGAAATTCGGAGGAATTCATCGTGCGGTATTAATATGAGAGCGTGGAGCACGGAAGGTGTGTTTAGGTCGGTCTTGTAGGTTTTTTTATTTTTAAGTCGGAGTTCTTGAAGCGGCAGATAGCAAATAAAAGGCCGAACGAGATAACGTTCCATGTTGGAAGTTGATATTGAATCGTAATCACATTAAAGCTGAGCGGAAGTCGATCCCCTCCTCGAAAGGGGAAAGTAGAGGTGCATCCGGCCCGAGAAGAAAAATTATCGATCAGACGACTTCCGACATTTTGCGAGTTTCAGAACTTCTTCGTAACAAAATCGCATCTAGCTCACTTAGTGAATCATGATATTCGCAAAGTGCCCGCAAACCTAATGACTTTTCCATCTTCGGCAACAACGTCGACGTCGTCCAAGCGAGTTCGAATGGCCGAGCAGCTCTCTACTTGAGGCAGAAGAGCCCAGCGACGTGCCATCGCTTGCTGGAAGGCACCGGGTCATGCACATTGTAGACGGAAAGGCCGGCTTCATTGCCGACGCGCACTAATGTATTGTTTGTGCTTCGTGGTTGTCTATGGATTCGGGTCCATGGATTGTGTATGGGCCAAAGGAGGCTTCCCGGTTCTGGTCTCCCATCCGCGGTTTTGGACAGGTATCTACTGTCAGAAAACGGGCTGTGCTCGTTTGCGTCATTTGAGAATGAATTCACGTGTTCTGAGACATTTGAGATATTTCTTTCAGATATTTGAGATCTTAGAGTATATTTCCGGTCGTATGGGAAAGTGCACACTCCTAAAAATTGTGTCATCCTTCAGGCTTACGTATGTGACCTGGGTGCTGTATAGCAATCGTTTTCCCCGATGGACCAAGTGCAATTCGACATTTCATAATGACCCATTTGACATTCCAAGCACGCCTTTGCTTATGCTAACACGAACTTAGTGTCCGCGGCAGATTTCGCGTGTTCGAAAAATAAGCCAGCTTGACGTGATTCAGAAAACGTATAATGGCACAGTCGCGGAGCAACATGTTTCGAGGAAAATTTCTCATATATATTTTTCATGAACATACACGGTCGCAGAAGATTCGTAACCCGAGGAATCGCGGCACCCGCCGAAGAAGTCGCCCTCGTGCCCCGGCGGGCAGGGATTCAAGGGAACCGGTTCCTCGCATCCCTCCTTCGTCATCCAAATGCTCCCCGGATCGCATCTTCGGAAGGAGACGGTGGCGGCGAAGGCGTGGGGAGCGAGCCTCTGGCAGGTCAGGGCGAACTCGCGATCTGCGAGGCGGGTCAAGGTCAGGTTTAAGGGGGGAGAACAGAGCGTGGTGTCGTTCTCCAAGACGCAGTCTCCCCTCGGGAGCCAGTAGATCTGTCCGTCGGGGCAGAGATTTCGCTTGCAGAGCGCGGTTTTATTCTCCTTGTCGAACAGGAAGAGGTTTCCGGGTTCGCAAGGACCGCGACTGAACAGTCGGTGACAGTTTCCGTCTTCGGGCCAGTAGATGTAGCCACCTTCGCGGCATTCGCAATGTCCCAGGCCGAATTGATCCATGGCCAAGATCTGATTCTGGCCGCAACGTTCACCGGGATACTCGGGTGAAACGCATCGGTTCGGTTCCTCCGAAAAGGCCACGGAGCACAAGCCGCAATTCCGGTATTGACATTCCGGTTCCATCGTGGCCTGGTTCAAGACCAGCCACTGCCCCATCTGACAGACCCCCTGCTCCAGAAGCGGCAGACATTGATTCGTCGGGCGATGGAATGCCGTGTAAGGGCTGCCGCAAACGGAGGTGCCCTGACCGCCCCTGATTGCAGGCGGGGGGCCGGAAAAAAATTGCGGTGGAGGAGGAGGGACGGGACCCGAAGAAAATGGCGGTAGAGGATGCATCTGGGAGATTGCCTTGCCCCAGCAGGTGGAGACCAACACAACCAGGAACAAAGCGCCGAACGTCAGAAGCATCTGAAATTAAAGGGACTCGTGGAATGGGGGGCACCACGAACTCATGAACGGATATTACTCTCTGCTCAGTTTCTCTACTCGCTGAACACTAACAGGTCTATGCCCGTGCGCTGTACGGTCATTTGCGCGAACTACGTTTGAAAAACAATCGAAATGTGATTCATGACAGGTCTTGCCAAAAAGTATGCATATTGTCATTATTTTGCAAGGTTGATAATTTAGATGTGATGTGACTGGTTTAGGACTTGTAGCAGTACATTTGTTGTTAGGATGGCCATTTTTTCTGGATTCAAAATGCCCAGACCCGAAAGTGTTAAATCCGGGAAAAGTAAAAACTGCAGTGAAAAGTGAAATGAAACACAGTGACTTGAGCTCATTTGCGAGACAGGGGTCACACTTTATAAAATTTACTGGCTCCCTATCGAAAATCCAGAGAAAAAGGAATCGCAAATCTGGGAAGAGAGATCGAACAGAGAGACTCGTTCAAAAACTCCCTCAGAAACGAACCGTCGCGAGAGCTGCCGAGAGTCGATGATGCACAAGCGAGACGCTGATGAAGGAACTGTCGCCACTGCGACGTTGGGACCGGCTTTTTTCCAGGTAAAAATGTCTCCATCCCCTCCGAGGCCCATGTATGGTCTTGTCTTCAGTCCGCCCACCCCTTAAGGAGATTTTTTTTTTCTCCCTTCATCAGAGGAATGACGCCTCGGCCCATGCATCATTGTATCTGTCCCCTCTTTAGGAAGCATGCACCTGTTCTATCCTCTCGTCATCCATAAGTCCATCCAACAGTCCCTCTATTTTAGGCCATGCACAATATCGTGAAGGTTCAAGGTCACGGGCCGTGACGCCACGCGGCGGTTCGCAGATATCGAGATCCCGAAAACCGTTGGAGCGCTCATATTAAGTCCTCGCCCCGATCTAAGATAAGCCCATGCCCCTTTATAGATAAACGTTTGAGACTGTTTAAATCACCTGCATAGTCTCAGCCTCTACCGTCCATTCAAGTTCAAGGTCACGAAATTCATGAGAGAGGTGCCTGCATGCATTACGTCCCCCAATCACGTTCGCTGCGAGAAACCGGTCCGTAGAAATGACTCGGGTCAAGATATTCAGTCCCGAGCTCGTCTAGGTTCAAGAAAATAAAAAATGCCCACATGGGGAAAACCCGAAGACCTTAACGGTCTATTCCAGGAAATCTACTCGTCCTTGTCGTCCTTGTCGAGATTCGAGCGTCGTGTGTGAAATACCAGATTGACAGGAACATTTGTTATGCCGCGTTTCGAATAAAGGCATCTTGTGAAGGCCGTCACATGTGACGATGGGAGGGGCGGCTACTATTTGGTATAGGGTAACTTGGGGGAATATGGACACCAAAAATGAAATCAGGTTATAGCGTCACGTCTAGGTGAAATGAAACTTTGCCAATATTCAGAAAATATTGATCGATGTCTCCTTTATTTATTCCCAACAAGATCCGTGCAGAAAAGTAAATGGGAAAAGAGTATTTGGGACCTCTTCACATGGGTCCCAAGAGGCCATATTACCCCTATTGTTGGGGG